CGAATACAAAGGTCTTTTCCATTTTTAATGGTCGGAACAACTACAAAAAAGTTTACGGCAGTCCACAAAAAATAAAATACATGCCTACACAATTACAATATCAGATTGAAAAAGAACCAATAAAATTCAAAGTTACAAAACATTTAGCCATGTTACACACTTTTTCCGTACTAGTTATTTGCATAGCAAAGCAAAATAACAAAAAAAATGATAACTTGTTTAAATCAGCATTGGACACAAAAGTTATGAAGCAAAGGCTACTTGAAAGTATGTACGAAATGCCTACCCACATCAAGCGCCCACGGATCATAATCGATTATAGTGTCCTTTCATAGTCAGTGTCTACAAAATTATGAAATAATCGATAAAAATCAGTTAAAAAACGGAACATAATCATAAAATTATGTCAATATAATCCATCAGAATCGATTATTATCGTTCAGAATAGACTTTTTTGGAGAGGTTCTTGAACACTTTACAATTTGATTTTCAGTTTATCTCATTACTGTGTTTATTGCAGTTTCAACGTATTACGGTTCATAAACTTCATATCTTATCAAGATTTGAAATAATAATAATTTGCTACTTTTCCGTTGTCCTAATTTAAATCTCCATTTCCACCTAAAATAATTTAAAAACCTAGCTGTTCAATGGTGTAAACCATCTAAGCGTCAGACAACAAAAGTTATCTTAAACTGATTGCAATTTTTCCCCCAAATATAGAAAAAACAAGGAAATTAAAGTAAAATCACTTATAATGAGTTAAAATCAGTGAAAACTCAAGCAAAATAGTTTTTTTTTCACTTTAATTTGCGTTGTCAAATTTTGCCCCAGTTTGAATGATTTTTATTTTAAATTTTGAGTTCATAATTTCAAAATTATAAGAACTTTATAGTAGTTAGTTGAAAATTCTCTAATTACAAAGTCGAACTTTGAGCACAAAAATTCACACCGAGCAGCTATTTTGTAACTTTCCGCAAAAATCTGAAAAAATACAAAGCATTAAAACAAAAATTTGTATGATGCTGATAAAAGCTATTTTCAGAATAGTGGCAAATGATAGATTATTGGTCAGGCTTTTGAAGAAGTTGACCGAAGACATGTGCTTTTAGTGACCATTTTGAGACTTTTTAAATCATTTGAAAGAAATTAGTATCTTCGGCCCACGTTTAGGAAATTGCAACTAAATTTCGTAGAATTAAGAGAGCTAGAATAGTTTTTCAAAAACGGCCAGTTTGTGACGGTGAAATCGATATAGAGTTCCTGTTCTTCACGCGGAAGAGGCGGAACGGGTCTGAGAAAGGTCTGAACTGAATTGAGTCACTATTTTATGTAAAACACTAAAAAATTTCGGTCTTCTTAAAACGATTCTTAATATCAACTACCTGAAAAATGTTTTTTTTCTGATATGATGCCGGATGTGCATTTGAAATTTTTTTCTTTGAAATTTTCATTCCTCTTTTCCGTAAACAATGTTTTTTAAATATTAAAGGGCTCAATCTTGTTACCAGCAGTCTTGTTTTTTTTATTATGCAGTGTGAAGATATGCAAAGATATGTTATGAATTCTTAACAAGAAATGCAAAATCTATTTCAAGTTTTGTTCTGACCATTTCGTTTGGGACGATCTACGTGCCAGGCATCAGTTTTTTTCTCAGTTTTGACTAAAACAAAACAAAAACTCGCTAAGAGTAATGTGTGCTATGATGTTAAATCCTCAATGGTTGGATGCGGATTCCAACAGCTTAAACATGTGTCTTGTGGTTGAGAATTCCGAGCCATAAGATAGAGGCTGACAGGGTAATTTGATCAGAAGCTGACCTCCAATTATCAAAAATTTTATGATAAATGCAGTTCGTGAATTTGACCACTCATTTGCGCGTTTTTTCACCTAAGTCAATCATCTTTTACAAAAAAATTAACCGGAAGTGCGGGACAAAATAAAATGGATTTTTCCAAAATCTTGATTGTTGAAAAATAAACGGGAAAAAAATCCTCAAAATTTTTTTAAAACAAGAAGTAATTCAACTCAAAAGGGGGTTGATTTAGATCTCCACCAATATGAAGAATTTTTGAATTTCCAAATGTCTGTCACTCAAAAAAAGTTTAAATAAAACAAGACGAGCAAATTGTTTTCGTCAATTCAATTTGGAACGCTTTGATTGCTGTCTACTTTCAGTATATGTGCATAAATATATTGTGCGTATATATTGGCCAATTTGGCAAAATACAAGCTCACATAGTTTTACAAAAAATTGATATCCGACAAAAAAAGGTTTTAACAATTTAAGCTCAGGACACTAACAGTTTTCAGTCTATATGAAAAAAAATCTACAAAATGGCATGTTAAAAAACCTAAGTGTGCTGACGTTTGAAGACGCTTTACCTAAATTCTCTCTTCAATTTTCTAAGTTTCCATTTTGTTCAGTTTTCAAATGTTTTGCAGTGTAATTTTTTATCAACTGTTTGATATTTTTGTTTGCTTTTTAGGTTCAATTGAATAAATTGATAAAATTTTAAAGAATGATGTCATTAGCGTATTACTGTTATTAGTACGAAATGATGTATTTAGTGTAATATTAGTTCAAAAAACATTGGTTAAAGTCAAATTAAAACAAATTTTGAGACATAATTTTATGCCGTTTTTGTACCAATAGCACGAAAATGGAGCTGAATATTTTACAAACCGACAAGTGATCAAGGGTAACAGATTTTAATATTTTTTAGCTCAGGTCATCAATACCTTGATAAACTTTTGTGATGAGGGATAGAGAAAATTCTGCCAAAAAGGCTGGTTAAAAAGACAAAATTAAATTGGAGAAAAAACTACCCCATTTCAAATATTCGGTCTTTTTCTTCGAAAGTCAGCAAAAAATTGAGTTTTGATGGCTCGAAGGCATCAACTGAATCATGAATTGCTAATTTGACCTTTTTTTAGCGCATTTAAAAAAACATGATGCCGTTATATAATTGAGGATTTAAAACTAAATGAAACGAGACAACTCGTATCATGGCAAATCTTTGAATTTTCTAACTGCTATTTGAAGTCGATGAAAAGTGAAAAAACTTGTTTTGTTTGAAATTGATCAAATAAACAGAAAAACAGCAAAATTTTTCTTTCGTTCAAAATTTATCTTTTTCTTATCCCCCCATACAGTATGCAAAAAAAACTAAGCGATACATATTTAGTTTTGTAACGCATTTGTTCGAGCAAATTGTTTTCGTCAATTCAATTTGGAACGCTTTGATTGCTGTCTACTTTCAGTATATGTGCATAAATATATTGTGCGTATATATTGGCCAATTTGGCAAAATACAAGCTCACATAGTTTTGCAAAAATTGATATCCGGCAAAAAAAGGTTTTAACAATTTAAGCTCAGGACACTAATGGTTTTCAGGCTATATGAAAAAAATCTACAAAATGGCAAGTTAAAAAACCTAAGTGTGCTGTCGTTTGAAGAAGTTTTTCCTAAATTCTCTCCTCAATTTTCTAAGTTTCCATTTTGTTCAGTTTTCAAATGTTTTGCAGTGTAATTTTTTATCAACTGTTTGATATTTTTCTTTGCTTTTTAGGTTCAATTAAATAAATTGATAAAATTTTAAAAACTGATGTAATTAGCGTATTACTGTTATTAGTACGAAATGATGTATTTAGTGTAATATTAGTTCAAAAAACATTGGTTAACGTCAATTTAGAACAAAGTTTGAGACACAATTTTATGCCGTTTTTGTACCAATAGCACGAAAATGGAGCTGAATATTTTAAAAACCGACAAGTGATCACAGGTAACAAATCTTAATGTTTTTTAGCTCATTTCATCAATACCTTGATATACTTTTGTCATGAGGGATAGAAAAAATTCTGCCAAAAAGGCTGGTTAAAAAGACAAAATTGAATTGGAGAAAAAACTACCCCCATTTCAAATATTCGTTCTTTTTCTTCGAAAGTCAGCAAAAAAATAAGTTTTGATGGCCCGAAGGCATCAACTGAATCATGAATTGCTAATTTGGCCTTTGTTAGGGCATTTAAAAAAACATGATGCAGTTATTTAATTGAGGATTTAAAGCTAAATGAAACGAGACGACCGTATCATGGCAAATCTCTGAATTTTCTAACTGTCATCCGTTTGAAATTGATGAAAAGTGAAAAACTTGTTTTGTTTGAAGTTGATCAAATAAACAGAAAAACTGCAAAATTTTTTATTCGTTCGAAAAATATCTTTTTTTATCCCCCCCATACAATACGCAAAAAAACAAAGCGATACAAGTTTAGTTTTCTAACGTATTGGTACGATCAAATCGCTTGCGTCAATCCAAGGTGGAACGGTTTAATTGCTGTCTACTTTCAGTATATATTGCATAAAAATATTGCGCGTATATTTAGGCCAATTTGGCAAAATACAAGCTCAAATAGTTTTGCAAAAAATAATCTCAGGCAAAAAAATTCTTTATTTGAACTCAGGTCATTAATAGCTTTCAGGCTATATGAAAAAAACCTACAAAATGGCAAGTTAAAAAACTTGAAATTTTTCTGCATATCAAAACCGCCGAGCACAAATATTCTCTAGTGTTCTTCGAAAGTCGGAACACAAATTCACTCACTAATATGAACCACCGTCACCTTCCGATCACGTTCAAGTAGGGGATGAGAATTTGATGGTTGAGCGGGGAGGGGGAGTAATATTAATTTTTGGAGGGGAGGGGATTGATTTGACAAAAAAAATCGAACTCATTTCCAAAAATACTGGATTAAAATTGAAATCAATGGGTTATATTATTGATTTGATTGTCTCGCAAATCCATTATAATCTACCAGCAGTGAGGTTCCGTAGATAATAGTTGGACGGGACAATCGAATAAACAATGTTTTTTGAATATTAAAGGGCTCAATCTTGTTACCAGCAGTCTTGTTTTTTTTATTATGCAGTGTGAAGATATGCAAAGATATGTTATGAATTCTTAACAAGAAATGCAAAATCTATTTCAAGTTTTGTTCTGACCATTTCGTTTGGGACGATCTACGTGCCAGGCATCAGTTTTTTTCTCAGTTTTGACTAAAACAAAACAAAAACTCGCTAAGAGTCATGTGTGCTATGATGTTAAATCCTCAATGGTTGGATGCGGATTCCAACAGCTTAAACATGTGTCTTGTGTTTGAGAATTCCGAGCCATAAGATAGAGGCTGACAGGGTAATTTGATCAGAAGCTGACCTCCAATTATCAAAAATTTTATGATAAATGCAGCTCGTGAATTTGACCACTCGTTTGCGCGTTTTTTCACCTAAGTCAATCATCTTTTACAAAAAAATTAACCGGAAGTGCGGGACAAAATAAAATGGATTTTTCCAAAATCTTGATTGTTGAAAAATAAACGGGAAAAAACTCCTCAAAATTTTTTTATAACAAGAAGTAATTCAACTCAAAAGTGAGTTGATTTAGCTCTCCACCAATATGAAGAATTTTTGAATTTCCAAATGTCTGTCACTCAAAAAAAGTTTAAATAAAACAAGACGAGCAAATTGTTTTCGTCAATTCAATTTGGAACGCTTTGATTGCTGTCTACTTTCAGTATATGTGCATAAATATATTGTGCGTATATATTGGCCAATTTGGCAAAATACAAGCTCACATAGTTTTGCAAAAATTGATATCCGGCAAAAAAAGGTTTTAACAATTTAAGCTCAGGACACTAATGGTTTTCAGGCTATATGAAAAAAATCTACAAAATGGCAAGTTAAAAAACCTAAGTGTGCTGTCGTTTGAAGAAGTTTTTCCTAAATTCTCTCCTCAATTTTCTAAGTTTCCATTTTGTTCAGTTTTCAAATGTTTTGCAGTGTAATTTTTTATCAACTGTTTGATATTTTTCTTTGCTTTTTAGGTTCAATTAAATAAATTGATAAAATTTTAAAAACTGATGTAATTAGCGTATTACTGTTATTAGTACGAAATGATGTATTTAGTGTAATATTAGTTCAAAAAACATTGGTTAACGTCAATTTAGAACAAAGTTTGAGACACAATTTTATGCCGTTTTTGTACCAATAGCACGAAAATGGAGCTGAATATTTTAAAAACCGACAAGTGATCACAGGTAACAAATCTTAATGTTTTTTAGCTCATTTCATCAATACCTTGATATACTTTTGTCATGAGGGATAGAAAAAATTCTGCCAAAAAGGCTGGTTAAAAAGACAAAATTGAATTGGAGAAAAAACTACCCCCATTTCAAATATTCGTTCTTTTTCTTCGAAAGTCAGCAAAAAAATAAGTTTTGATGGCCCGAAGGCATCAACTGAATCATGAATTGCTAATTTGGCCTTTGTTAGGGCATTTAAAAAAACATGATGCAGTTATTTAATTGAGGATTTAAAGCTAAATGAAACGAGACGACCGTATCATGGCAAATCTCTGAATTTTCTAACTGTCATCCGTTTGAAATTGATGAAAAGTGAAAAACTTGTTTTGTTTGAAGTTGATCAAATAAACAGAAAAACTGCAAAATTTATTATTCGTTCGAAAAATATCTTTTTTTATCCCCCCATACAATATGCAAAAAAAAACAAAGCGATACAAGTTTAGTTTTCTAACGTATTGGTACGATCAAATCGCTTGCGTCAATCCAAGGTGGAACGGTTTAATTGCTGTCTACTTTCAGTATATATTGCATAAAAATATTGCGCGTATATTTAGGCCAATTTGGCAAAATACAAGCTCAAATAGTTTTGCAAAAAATAATCTCAGGCAAAAAAAATCTTTATTTGAACTCAGGTCATTAATAGCTTTCAGGCTATATGAAAAAAACCTACAAAATGGCAAGTTAAAAAAACTTGAAATTTTTCTGCATATCAAAACCGCCGAGCACAAATATTCTCTAGTGTTCTTCGAAAGTCGGAACACAAATTCACTCACTAATATGAACCACCGTCAACCAGCAATTTTACCAATTTTTTTCTTAAAAATGAAAAAAGGGGCCGAAAGATTCAAAGCTGAAAATTTTTTTAATTTAAGAAAAATGACAAAACGACAGAGAAAACGAGACTCGAACTCAATGTTTATGATGCAGAGTCACGAGTTTCAACCCCTGATTTTCCCAACGCACCCTCACCACCGAATACTACTGGAGTTGAAATCGAAACTTGAAAAAGTGTTGCCGCCCATTTTCCGACGAAGTCCTTCAACCGATATTGTCCATTATCTCTCAGGTCGAGTCGAACATCCATTGTCCAAAACAGTTCCAGATACACAATTGAAAAACAGAAAAATAGCCCAAACTTAACGCTCTTGTTTGGAATTGTTAGCCCAATTGAAACCTCTTAAACAGGTAATACTTCTCAAATTAAAACTACCCAACGAACACCACGAACATCACACTGGACTGCTTATAAATTACTTCAAAGGAGTAGCCGGTTGCACAATTATATATGTAAAAAAAATTTAGTATATTGGAAAAAATAATTTTTTTTTTGCAGAATAACTTTTTGGTTTTTTATTGGTAGTAACCCGCACAAAACTCCCATGGATCTTATTTGATTATATAGTCTGTATCTATAAATTTACAAAATAACCTTATGTAATCCATTAAAAATGGACTATACTCCAAATATTTCTAAATCAATATAATCCATTATATCGGATGTTTTGAGACCTTTTTGATGAAATTTTTAATAATGCTTTGAATTTATCTCTTTTGCTGTGTAGTGCAGCTGCTACGTAATACCTTTCTGAATTTATTATTTCTCACATTTTTCATTTTATATAGATTTTTTTTTTTTCCTACTTTTTCAAATCTGAGTTTCTGGTAATTTTTCTAATTCAAAATGACCTTTCGCCGAACCTCCCCCTTCCGATCACGTTCAAGTAGGGAGTGAGAATTTGATGGTTGAGCGGGGAGGGGGAGTAATATTAATTTTTGGAGGGGAGGGGATTGATTTGACAAAAAAAAATCGAACTCATTTCCAAAAATACTGGATTAAAATTGAAATCAATGGGTTATATTATTGATTTGATTGTCTCGCAAATCCATTATAATCTACCAGCAGTGAGGTTCCGTAGATAATAGTTGGACGGGACAATCGATTATTATCTATTAAAAAAACATAGTTTTAAAAGAAATTCAATTTACCATGATCCATTTTGAATCTATTTCAATGGATTATAAAGGATTTTAATCTGTAAAACTTTTCCAAGTTTTTTGCATTTTTTTCAATCTCTCTGTAAAACTTATCAATTTTATAAATTTCCTCATGTTTACTTTATTTTTGCAAGACCATATTCATTGTTACTTGAAACCCAGGTCTTACCAATTTTAACGGCCAAGTTGAACAGCCCAATTTTACCTCCTTCCCCTCACATTTATCACAACTACAACCACCCATCCTACGCCATGAAGCATCTACCATACGCCATGAAGCAGTTAATGCCTTTTACTCCCTCCCCTTAACCAACACTTTTTTTGGGGATGGGCGTAAAGGTCTGTAGGAAGCGTGGTATAGAAGTGTGTGGGTTGATGTGTCGGGGTGGGGTTGTTCACGCGTTTACGATAGTTTCACGTATTTTAAAGGTGAAATTATTTTAGGGTAAATGATGGGGGGAGGTGAGGAGAGACAAGTAGAAAAAAGACAAGTCAAATGAAAACAACATTTTGCTGCAGCCAAATGTAAAACTCAATTTTGCAATTGCAACGTTCAAGTTTTGAGTATTTTCTTTCAAAGTTTTGGAAAATCCACGCTCTAGCTCATAAAACTTTTTTCTAATCCATCTTAAACTATTATAATCCATTATAATACATTATAACAGATTATAATAGTTCGAACTGATATCTACTCTATTTGTTTTTTTATCGATTATTTTGGAAGTTCATTGAAGCAGATCATGAAAATCCTTTATAATCGACTATTATCCATGGAATGTCATTGCGGGTGTTAATATCCAACGGCGCTCTAGGTGGGAAGGAGAGATGGAGCTCTTTTAAAAGCAAAATCAATTAGTTGAGAAAAGATTACCCGTTGGGTTAGGCTGCTTGAGTTTCCAAAAACTTTTTGAATTAGTGTTTTTTTTTCAATTTATTGCATTTCATATGAATTTTTTTTATTGTAAAAACCCAATCAAAACCTTATACAAATAGCATTTTGCTAGTCACCCCTGTCTGCTGCGATGCAGGCAAAGTTTTTTTAAAACATCAGCAAAAAATGCTGTTTTTGAGAACGTTTTGGAAGTTTCTGTCAAAGCAATTACGTATGTTTACTTACTGTATATTGGCGCTAAATGAACCTTCAGTAAAAGTTTAGTTTAATCGAAGAGAAACCTTTGTCATAAAAGGGTACCGAGGGGGGTCCTTTGGAAAAATTAGCCTACCAGAATTAAAGGCGGCGTTCACTCACGCTCATTTCGGCACGCTTCTGTATAGGTAGCTCACTGGCCTCAAAGGAACCGTCGTTTATGCACCCGTGTGCTTCTAACTGGTCGTGTCTCAAAGAAAGACTACGAGATCTTTAAAATCATAACCTTCTCCCTCCACCCCCCTCAACATGAACTTTCCTTGACAAACGTAACATGGAGAATCAGACCACCAAACAACTACCCTACCCTTACCCTACCCTACCCTACCCTACCCTACCCTACCCTACGACATTAGCTACTTTGTCGAAACATAACACACTCATTTCGCAGTTGAACTTCTGTTTACACCGTTTCCGTAAATCAACAATGATAGCTAGTTACTGAGTTACTGTGCACGTAATAAAGAATGTTCCGACCACAGTCTTAGAAAAATACAAAAAATTTATTTTTTGAAATTAGTGTCGTTTTTTTTGGCATGGCGCATGGCGTGTTAAAAAGATCTGAAGAAAAAAAACTTACGCATTTTTGACAATCATGGTAATATAGGCTAGTCGGAGAACAAATTTTTGAAGCAAATTGACTAGAAAAACGAAAAGAAAATGGTTTAAAAAATTCAACATTTTTTTCAAAATTTTTTTGCGGAAAATTTTGGATTATTTAACCTTTGTTTACAAAATGGCCCTAAATAACTTCTAAAAAACTAATTTTATTTGAG